CATCTCTCCTGCATGTACATTGGAGTAAATACTTGCAATATAAGAGATCATTTACGTTTTCAGGAATTTTAAGGAATACTTGTCTTTATGTGGTCAGTAGCTTTACTTCAAGAAATATTTATGTTCTCTTTATGAAAAATTGTCATTTCTCCTAGAGCTGTTACTCTGAGCAGTTATTAACAGAAGTGAATGACATAAGTGCTTAACTATCCAGTGCTGATTAGAGAGATTATCTTAGTTTAGTAAGAATATTGCTTTGGCTTTATTTTTAACACCTTTTGTCTTTCTCAGTTCTCTCCTGAAGCATTTGTTTGGTATTTTTATTTGGCATGAAAATTGTGGTTGCCCAGGAAGTCTTGCTAAGGCACTTAGTCATTGTGGCGTTCGAGCTGAGTAACTACTTAGAGTAAGACATTTTTTGAAGATCTCTTCTGCAGATAAAGGGTAGAACATTTTTCATGGACTGCCACGAAAGAAAGTTGAACAAAAAGGGGGAGAAACTAAAGTAACTTGAGATGGGGAGAAATCCGGTGCAGTTATGTTACAAATCTTTCAGGTTATTGAAATTGTTGGGAGCAGTCAGGAAAAAGGGTGAGGGAAGAAATTGGGCACTTAAAATATTCTGGTCAGCACTGTACAGTAACAAAAAGTGCTGTAGCATGTGGCTTGCAAACACTGAAATGATAGATGTGACTTTCAGTTGAGTCTGAATTTTGTATGACTGCATTATTTGAATGAAAATTTGTTGTTGTAAGTAAAGCCTAATTACTGAACCAGCTTTCTAGTTTCAGTGAAGCAGCTGGTGATTAAACAAAAATGTCCACCAAAATTCTGTTAATATTCCAGGCTTTAAAAGAAGTCTTCTCAAAAACAGTACTATGAAAGAACAGCTGAGATAGTAGGCACTGTGGAGAAGTTTCAGGAATGCAAGAGAAATTGGGTGAGAACAGCTGTAAAAAAGCCCCAGCTTTCATCAGAGGTGCATTTAGCTTCATAGCTGGAATGCCACAGGCAGACAGTGGTTTAGCACAGAGCTGGTGGGAGTTTTCTCTACAGAAATGGTAACTCTTGGCTGATGTCCGGCGCAGCTACTTCCACCCCAAGCCTGTGATTTAAAAACCCTGTACGTGGGTATGCAATCAGTACTGCCTCCAGTAGGAATTATTTGCTTGCAGTGATGAAGCAGGAGGGAAGAGGATGTGCGGGGCAGCACCGTGAGTGATTTCTGAAACCCCAGCTGGAGTGGCAGGACTTTTCGTCTTATCCCCTGTGAATTACATGTCTGGTTGAGCTTTGCAGCTTGACCTGGGCTGGGGTTGTCCCGCTGCCTGAGCGCATCCTCAGAGGCTCATCTAGTTGTTGTTTGCTGTTGAACGAAACACAGTCGGTGCTGCTATTTCCAGCTCGCTCTGGCCTACGGGTGCTGTAGTTTCTTACCCAGCACTTAGCTAGGAGTTGTTTCACCTCCTGTCTCCCACTTTTTGGTGCCCGGCCATCACTGAGCTATGGAGGGAAGGCAGCAGGCAGTCAAATGAGTGAATAAAAAAGATAAAGCCTCACAGCAGTAACAGGCAGGATCGTTCCCGACTTCAGTGGGGCCCTGTCCTCAGTCTGCCCTTCCATATTCTTTTGAAGGGATTCAAGAGTCCTAATGTTCTTGTGTTGAGATCAGCTATACACAATCCTGTGACACTGAAATATATAGTATTTGGACTTCAGCTTTCTGGTATTTTACACGCATGGATGCTGCCTGACAGGTTAAAGATGACAGCTGTTCGTAATTGCCTGGAGAATAATGAAGCTTAGTTTAAAATAAATAAATAATCAACTCTTAATAATTGTTCTGTTTGAGGTTTTTTATGATGGGTATGTTTGTTTTGAAATAGGCATCTGTTCTGTAACAAGACTTTCAATAGAAGGTACAGAAGATTATATAATAGAAGATGAAAAATACTGTGTTAGGGTTATTACTGTTTTAATTGAAAATAGTGAGACGTAATTGATTTTGAAATTGGTCTGATAATGCTCGGCTCTTGTATTTCAGTAAGGAATCCTGATCATAGGTTACAAATGAATTTAACCATTAGGACATGGAGAAAAGGTACCATTCAACGCTAAACACCGCAATTAGGGATGCATGACTGAAGTTTCAAAGTAATGTATTAGTAGTATTGTATGAGACAGTCACATGGAAAAGATCATGAGGTTGTGAAAAGGATTATGATCATGCTTTAGTCATGAATTTCCTGGTAGACATATTTTAGTCTGGATCGTGCTTGTTTAAAAGAGAATAATTTGACTTTGCTTGTTCTGGTTATATTATCATTATGTGGTAAAGGGGGAGAAAAGGTGTCTTACCTACAAAAGTACTATCCTTGAGATGCTGTTTTCAGTACTGAGAGAATGAAGTTGAAAAGATACTGAACAATTTGCTAGGGGATTACAGTATACTGCATGTACTTACCTGCTGCTGCTGTCTTCTGTGCAAGCGTATGTAAGTCCGTCTTTCTCCCAGGGCTTTCATCTGCCTTGCACGTACCTGCTTATTCCAGATCCTGCTCTTCACATTAAGTACCATTCAACATTGTCAATCCTCAGTTGATGAAAATCGGCATAATCCTATAGAAATGTGGAGCTCTGCTGATCTGTCACCAGCCACACTCTTAATCCAGTACCTTTCCTTACTGCCAGAATGTCTCTGCTTCCTGGGATGATATAAGTCACAGAGCCCAGGTTTTCAGCCAGTGTGAGAAAGAGCATATGTTCTTTATTTAAAGGTCATGGAATCAGTTTCCAGACAATCGTACAATCTGAGGGTTGACTCAGTCCCGTGACTCTTGGATAAAGACTTATAACCTGTTTCTATTCCATCAGTAACAACTCTGTGCTTACCTGTTTCCTCAAAGGAGAATGGAAGAAGCTTCTAGAAGGTGCTTTGAGATGCTTTTAATGTTTCTCATATATTTATAAGAACATTAAGGATACCTTAAATTGAGTCTGTGAGTGAAAAAGACAATGTGAAAATAATATCTCAGTAAATTTTGAGGATAAACTTACTTGTCACAGCCCTTGGTGATTGAACTGGAGACAAACGGTGGTGGTTCCAGATTGAACAGTTATTTACAAAAATAAAACAGTAGTACCCAGTGATTACCCATTGACCTATCTGATGGCCCTGCAATCAGTTTGGATGCAGATGCCTCCATTTGACAGATAGTATTCTGATTATTTACCTTTGTAACTGAGTCATTATTGCAGAAGAGGCTTTTTTAAAAATCTTGCAAGCTTGGAAGCTCCAGTGAAAAGTGAATTTTCATCTTTTCTATTTGTAGAGCTTAACAGGAAAAACTTTTTCCCCAGTCTTCTGTGTTAACACATTTATTTGCTGTATAAAGTCATTAAAAGGTAGCTTTTTTCCCTCAGGATCCCTTTTCTTTGTCAACCTGTTGCAAGTGCAGGAGCTTTCAGGAGCTTTATATTTTTTGGGTGCGCTAATGTGATTGCCATTAAAACATCAAGCTAATATTTTAGGAAATTAAGATGTTTGTGGGTTTCTGCAGAGCACTTTCCTGCCTGACTTGGTGAAGCGTGGTTTGGTTAGCAGCCGGGGTGGCATGAGGATAGCTGGATTCACCATTTCTCGTCTGAGAGTCAGTAGCGTGCCAGGGTGGGTTGACTGCGTCACTCGCAGCTGTAGGCACGGTGGCATAAGGAACTAAAACTGCCTTCAGAGGAAGGAGAAATGGAGGCATACTTGACCTGTTTCTTCATTACTTTGCATCCATACAAATATTTACATTTGCTGCAGTGTTTTGGTAGCATCTGAGTATACAGAAAGCAGGGATGGTGGAGCTCTGTCCTTATCCTTTCAGCTCTCCTTTCCTCCTCATACTCTAAATTTAACTAATCATGTGTAAAAATCCCTGCCTCTGTACTTGTTTCCTTTGTCTGTTTTAGTCACCTCTGTTAAACTGTTTGAAATAGTCATTTAACTTGTACAGATTGATTGGGGAGCTCGGTGTGTTCTTTCTTAAAATTTCTTTTATAATAATTATTTCGGGTTTATATATATTTTTGCTAGCAGAGGTAAACAAAATAAAGCTGTCATATTTTGTAACATAGTGAATTGTTTTCAACTCTGAACACAAGATGGACCTCTAGAGTGTCCTTCATTACCTGATGTTGAATAGTAAGTTTCTTACATTTACTACTAAATTCAAAACTAGATTGTCGGGAGGATAGAATTTCTAAAAATCAGTGCTAACTAGTTTGAGCTAGACTGTCAGCATTAACAGTATTTTTTGAGTTGCATAAACAGAGGTTTTGCATATAACTGTTTTTAAACTAACATCCACATAAATCTTTGAAATCAGTAAACTCAAGGAAAATGTACTAAGGCTACAAACATTTAAGCAATACATTGAAGTTGGTTAATGACAACTTATTTTTAAATCACTAATTACCAGTCAAAATAGGGAATTGTGCAGTGTGTGTTTAGCGGAGGTACTTTAGCAGCACGTAAGAGAACAAATGGTGTGTAGGTTTTCAAATCTGCCTGCCATCCCCATAAATAAGAAAATACAGTATTGTTGTTTTAAAATATTTTTTTTTCTTTTGTAACTTGTGCTTTAAGAAGAGTTTCACTATTACAGGTTATCATAAGCATAGATGCCTCTGAAAATACACACAAAAAATGTTTTGTTATGACTGACTGTAAACTCTGATCTTTTTCATGTAAGTTCCTCCTGTAAGTAGTATGGTATGTAAGACTGCATCTCTGAAATAGACAGAGCCTGTCTTACTGTTGGATAAGGAAAGTATGTTAATACAATTTCTGCAGAAAAATACCATAATTATTATTCTGATAATGCCAATACCTAGAAAGACTTGAGTGTCCTTCAACTGGTACAAGGAAGTATGAGAGTGATACTCGTCATTCATATGTTAAGATTACTTTTACGCCTAAGTGCTTCCCCTTGTGTTTCTTGTAGGAAACGGAGATGAAGGTACACATGCACACAAAATTTTGCATCATTTGTTTGCTGACATTTATCTTTCATCAGTGCAATCATTGCCATGAAGATGGACATGACCATGGTCCTAAAGAGGAGCATACACACTACCATAATGACTATCAGATCTCAAATGCATCCTACTTCCAGAATGGAGGAACAGAATCTGTGCCGAGTAAATTTTCAACATTGGAAGCTGAAAATGAACAAAAATACTACATTGAAAAGATTTTTGATCGTTACGGTGAAAATGGAAGATTGTCTTTTTTTGGCCTAGAAAAACTGTTAATAAGCCTTGGTTTAGGACAGGTGAAAGTAGTGATGATAAATCATGATGATATTGGCCATGATCATGTTTCTCACTTATATGCTTTAGAAGTACAGGAAGGAAAGCATTTTCACGCTCACAACCATCCTCATAGCCACTCACATTCAGAAAACCAAACCACGGTTGGTATGGCTGCAAAGAGAAATCATAAATGTGACTCTGAGAGAGACGCAGCAGCGCCGTCTGTAAAAGATGATGGCAAACACATTCATGACCAGAGTCGCCATCACCATCACCACCACCCTCGTCTACATCATCACGGCCATAACGGGACACATCATTCTCATAATGATTCTGTTAGTCACAGTGAACACGGAGAACAGAACCATGAACCTTCAACAGAGACAAACACAACTCAGGATCAGCCAGAAAGAAAACAACGGAAACAGAAGAAGAAGCAAAAGAAGATCAGTGAAACTTCAGGAGATGCCCCAAATCGTGATCCAGGTGATCAGTATGAGCACAATCGTGTTCATAAACATGATCATGTACATGATGCATCTCACTTGCACGTACACCATCACGAACACAGTAGTGAACGTTCTGCTAGTCACGGACATCAAGATTCCAGTTTGAGTAACGAGGATGGACACCACCATGCCAGCAAGCAAGAGACCCCTCAGAAGCAGATTAGTGTAAGAAAACATGCTGTTTTCTCAACACGTAGTCATAAGGATCATAATGAAGATGAACGGGAGCGTGAAGAGGTGAGTAGGAAATGGAGAACCAGTAAGTTCACTTTCACTGCTGTTACAGCATAATGGAAGGTGCATACCCACAAATAACACAGAAGCACATTTGTGTAATACAGGTGTCAGAGGGAAAATGCTGAAGGTCACTGCCAAAGTTTTGAGTTTACTTTATGGGGTTTCATTTGTCTGCCTTTATCTTGCCTATTTGCCTGTACGAAGGAGATCCTTAGAGCTTTCTGAGATACCTTGCTGACAAGTGAGGTGGTTTTCCCTTCTCAGTATTCATGAATGTTTCCCTCACACACACCTTTTTTGGACTTCTTTCTGAATCTAAGGTCATTAACACTTTTGGAAACCACACGGAGAGTCTTCACTGAAGGAACTGCCTTCATCTTTTCAATATGCTTCTAATTTCTTTGTCCAAAGAGACTGAAGCAGCAGAGATGTAGCTTCGGTAGCGCTGTGCCCACTGTAAGCTCTTCCATTTCTCCCTTCAGCACCCATTACTTATGCCAGGACCATACACTTTCCCTTCCTCCTTACAATTAACTACAGAAGCAGGACAGTTTGATATCATGGTTTTAAACTAGTAGTCAGGATAGGAAAAGATTGAGTCAGTGATGAGTTGGAGGTTTTAAACTGAGTTAAGAAGTGAAACTTCAGGCACAGGATGTTGGTAGGTAAAGGGAAGTGTTAGAAAACCTGTTTTGGATTTATGTTCTTCTACTCCTTTCCTGTTCTTTCCTCAATGCTTGTACTTTGTAATGGTAAAGAACATGGAAACTCGTTTTCATTGACACTTAGCAAAGTTTATGTAGGTGTTTGGAGACTGAGTTTGTAATGCAGATACTTTTTCTTTCCCCTCTTAAACCACTTAGATCAGCTTAGACATGTTCTAGCACTGGTGGAATGTTGTGGGCCATAGTTTCTGCTTTCTGTTTGTGTTCTCAAATCATATGCAAAGTTTTCACTAACTGTAGTTTTAATGAAATAGTTGCTTTCATATTTAATTTGTTTGTACAATTTGCTTGCAGTGCTTAAACGTTACGCAGCTGCTGCGGTACTATGGCCTGGAAGCCAGCTCTCCAATATCTCCTGAATTGTTCGTGTACATGTGTCCTGCTTTGCTGTACCAGATTGAGAGAAGGCTTTGTATTGTACATTATGATGAGCTTGAAGATCTCATGAAGAGTAAAAATGCATCAATTGAGAATAAAGATAAAACCGGTGCATCAGGTAGGTGTGAGGCGTCTAACGCCTTCAAAATTATTTTGCATTGTAAACGTTAACTTCAGAGTTTGAAATGTCGTACAAGTAACCGTTGACTTTACAGTAAAGGAATGGTTGAAATGTAACATACTTGCAGAAGAAGAAATTTGAGGCAGCACACTCCTTTAAGTCAGGAGACAGCCTCCTGATTGGCGGTACAATAGTTTCTCCTTGATAACCGTGGCTCACGGCAGCATACCTTTCTTTCTTGTCCCTTTTGATCCTTTTTCATTATTTTCACTTTTTATTTTATGTTTGCTTATTTTTCTTTTTTTCTTTTTTATATTCTATCATTGAGGCCTAACGTCCTGTCATTGGGCCTATGGCCCAGGCATTTTGGCCTGGATTCTTCCCACATGTCTTTAGATGCTGGACTCTTGCCGTACCAACATAGGCAAGGTACAGAACCATTGGAGATAGAAGGACCTCTAGGGATGAGCAAGCCCACCCACAGTTTGGATTATTTCCTTCATTTAAAACATGCTATGTTTTTTTCTCTTAGTGTGGCTGAGGTGGTCCATATGTTTATCTCAAAGTTGGAAAGTTGTAGTGTTTGAAAGAATTTGGCACAAATTTTCTTAATATATTTGACTTGGATCTATTTATTCAGGAAGGGAGAACAGCCCCTTCATCACAGTTCATTTATGGAAAGTTATGGTTTCAGGTGTTACCATTTTTATATTGTAGCAGTGATGCAAATGTACTGTAGAGTTGACATCCAGAATTTTTTGTAAATTCATGAAATATAAAGATGCAAGAGCATTTAAATTGCCATTTTTGATAACTTCCCTTTTCTGACTTCCAGTGTTGATTCCTTTACACCACTACTCTCTTAGGCATATGAGAAGTATTCAATCAAAATCCGCTGTTGGCAGTTTGAATTTTGTGTGTGTGTGCCTTGAGTAAAAAACAGTAGACTTTTTTTTTTCTTCTTACCATAACTCTAAGCCAAAAATATTTTTTAAAGCAGTTCCTTTAGGAACAGCATCCGTTGTTGTGATTTTGTACAACGTTGTGATCTTGGGTACAATGTTCATGCTTTGAAAAGAAAAGTACTGGTAATTGTGAATGTCAGGCTGGAGCGGGGCTCTGAGCAACCTGCTCTAGTGGAAGGTGTCCCTGCTCACTGCAGCGGGGTTGGACTACATGGCCTTTAAAGGTCCCTTCCAACCCAAGCCATTCTATGATTATTAGCATAATTAGAAATAAAGCTTGAAGAACCTACATTCTCATAGATCTTGTTAACTGTTGGAAAGAATGCGTTGCTGGTAATTTTTTTTAAAAATCCTGGAATTGTTAAAGTAATTGTTATACGTAAATCTCCTATAGCGACGCAGCAACTATCTTGTTAAAGATTGCTGTAAATTGTTTTGTGGGGTCGTCTTGTAGTAAACACTGACCCCTGCCTTATTTCCAAGAGGATTTGTAGAGCAGCTCTAAGCATTTTCTGCCAATTAAAATGTTGAAACCATGTATAAAACCATCATATTGCACATGCTTTGAACCAGTTTAATTAGAAAGTTTCTACAGATGAGTGCTCCTTTTTTAAAGAATGCATTTTCTTTCTCTGTAATGAGTAAGGGAGTTGATGAATAACTCAGCTTGAAGACCTTTAACATTTTAAGAGACTTAATTTGCAAAATTAGTGAAGCTTACTGTGAACATTTAACATGTTTTATGGCATCTAATACCTTGAGTATAAATAGCACATTTGCTGCTTAATTGTAAAAAATTGGTTTTTAACTTAGCTATTTGGCTCTGAAAGCAAACAGTAGCCTCTAAAACAGGCCAATGTGGTTAGATAATGATAAATCTTTCTTCATAACCATTCCCTTACGCTGTTGTATTAACTACAGTGAGACTTCAGATAATGTCATAACAATTTTCCCTCCTTAAGTAAGGAATTGATAAATTCTGACAAAATAACTGATCTTAACTGGTACATGGGCATTGTCAGAGGCATAGGACAAATCTCAGTCATAAAGTAACTTAACCTGCAGGTAGTAGGGTTCCACTAAAATGAAAATGTGTGCTTACCCAAGCTGGTGTAAACAATTTTAGATGGAATTATTTGCCAAAGTTAAGAGGATGCAGGCATTTTAAGCACCAGCTTTCTGTGTTTTTCTGTAGTTTTAATTAAAGCTTTCAATAAAGACTTAACAGACCAGCACTGCTTCTGTTCATTGATAGTAACCTGTAAAAGTTTCCAGATAGTGCAGTTTTATAAAGCAAAGTAATTGAATTAACTGATGGCCAGAAGCTTATGAAGCCACGTTGGGTTTTCTTCCTGTAATATACAGATAGTTCTGTAACATCTCTTAATAGAGGAGTTTGAAGGGTTTGTACATACAGCTGAGCTTTCACGGTGTACCTGTTGGAAGAGGCGGCATTGTTATCACTGAGGGCTCCTAAACAGCCTAATAGGAAAGGTCACCCTGCTATGAATCAAGCTGATAGAGTTGATACAAGTAAAGAGTGAGCAATTTTTTTAAAGATGGAGATCAGTTAGAGCTGTTGATTAAAAGTATTTCAGATCAGACATATCTTGTAAATCTGCCAGTGTTCCCTGGGGCTTACCATTCCCTGAACCCAGTGGAGCCTTGCTGCCAACTCGCTTTCTTGCTAAAGCTGGCAGATAGCTAGCCGTTCCAGCCTTCCCCGGAGTCTACCTCACTACCCTCTTTGTCTGTTTTACTTCACACATAGCTCTCCAAACCTGGTGCAAGCAGCTGTCTCTTGTTTGCTACCCACTGTTTGTACAGAGGTCTCTTACTGAAGAAATTGTTCGGTCACCTCCCTCTTGTTCTTTTCCACAGAAATATTTATGGCAGTGCATAGTAACTTCACCTCATTGACCCAGCTCTATACAGTATTCCTAGGAGTGTTATACACCCAGATCTTTTACAGCTTAAGAGCTCTTGCAGTGTTCATAATACTGCATATTAGTGCCACTTCCATAAGATTTTAGTGTTTGGAACACTCCCGTTGAATGACGTCCTTCAATAAAATTTTGTGTTGGAATTTTGTAGTAAGTCTTTAGTATTCCTTTTTATATGAGGAGCCTTTGTACATATATGTGACTGTGGACTTGTGCAGCTTTTTTATACATTTTTTTTATCTTTGGCTTGATAGCAACCTTTTGCTGATAATTTTGGTTCTATACCATTTTTTAAGCATTTAAACAGAGACAGAAGCTGACAGCCAACACCTGAGACATGCACAGATTCCGTATTCTAATCCACATGTGCCTCATCTTAATCATGGTGCCATGTTTAGATCCTCTGTCATTCATAAGAGTATGTAAGTCCTTCAGAGATGCATTTGCCAAATCTATGCTATGAGATATGAAACTTCAGCCAGTTTGCATAATCTCCTTTCCATTTTTCTCCATGTAAGGCTGTTGGTCATCTAACTTGGCACTTAACATCATAATGTGCGTGTCCAGATTGGAGGTCCAGTATCCTGCCAAATGGCTGTGCAGTTTTCACTTAGGCTACTTGTGCGTGCATGATTCAGTATTGAATTACAACTCCGCGTGTGCTGTTCCTTTCAGCAGAGACTGTTAGCCCAGGAGGTGTGATGGCAGGGCTCTGGGGATGAATCGCGGCTGCGTAGTGGCAGTATTTTGGTCAGCAGGGTCCTGCATCCACTCTAGACTTTTGTATCCCCATTTCCCAAACTCTGTTTTTTAGCTCCTCATCGGACAGCAGTCTTTGCCTTTCCACTCTCTGTTTTCCACTCGGTGTCAGTATGCATTTCAGCATACACTGCGTGCTTTCTGAAGCTTTTTCCAAGCACTTTCTCATGGTGGATGTGTTCTTGTACCCTTTACATTTGAATTTAATTGCTTCCTTTTCTGCCCTGTTGTGGAATTGCAGCTACAGACTTTCATAAATAACATATAAAACAGCGTGTTGTAAGTTTTAGTGTTGAACCAGGCCCGGCCTGTAGCAGCCACCATTCTAGTGCAAAGTCTTGTCAGAACTGATCTGTAGCAGTTTTGGTACAGGTAGAATACTTAGGACATGTGACTGCTAAATTACAAAATTCATTGAGCAGTGACAACATAGTGGATCGTCCTTTCTTCTCTTCTCCCCCCTCCCTGCCATTCCCCAGGATGTTTTCCTCTACTTGATCAAAAATGAGTGGAAATCCATAGATCGTGCACTGGAAAGTCTGGAAATGCTAATGGTTTGAAATCAGGCGTTGTTAACTTTCATTACAGCTGGCAAACTGTGTCGACAGTTTTGATTAAGAATGAAGCTAGGGAAAATAAAACTGGAAAAACCTGAAACATTTAGGTGAAACTCAGATAAATGAAGTTTAGATTGAGGAAATCGTGTTCATGAAAGATCTCAGCCCAGTTAATGTTTGTAAAACAGGAGCACTGACTATTCCTGTCTTTGGGACTGTGAACATTTTGAACTGTATTGTTGGAATCAAACAGTTTTTACTTACTGTTCGCTGAAGTTCCTGTGGTGCGAAGAAACAAGAGAAGTGATGAAGAAGCAGAGAGAGAGGGGGGAAAAAAACCCCAACAGTTGTTAATTCTTAACCTTACTGATTACTTAAAAAAAAAAGTAGAAGAAAAAAATATTTTATTAGGGTGAGATGCTGACTGCAAGAGCCATGTTTCTTTGCTTATAATATCTGTTTCTTGTTAAATTCCTCCTTTTCCATGTCATATTGGAATTTGCACGTCTTCCCTAATTAACAGGATTATGTTGAGTATATGATATGCCATTACCACTTTTTCTTCTAATGACAACGGTAGAGGTTCTTAGAAAAAAAAAAAATAGTCCTTTTTGTTGGTAGCAAGTTGCTTCAGTTCCTCAAGCTCTTGTTACAGCATTTGATTTTAATGTTTCTCTGTCAAAGGTTGAGTCTTACTTCTCATAAATAAAAATGCATGTTTCAAAGCACCAGGTGAAATGAACAGTGCCTAACTAACAAAGGAGGAGAAATATGGATTCCGGTTAAATTTTGCATCAGAACTGTGTTAAAACCAATGCTAGATATGAATTAGTGCTTGAGGAGCCCATGTGAGTTAAGTAGCAGAGATGGTTTTGTTTCAACGTGAAAGCTTTCACTTTGTGTGTTCCGTTACGGGCTGCAGAGCTAAGCCTGGAACTTAGAGTCAGGAGGAATTGCTGGGCTCTTCTCTGCTGATTGTCTCCAATGTTTTTCACTGCATTGTGCTGCAAACCACCCTGTTTATTTTTAGCTTCAGTACTGTCTGCGTATTTTTCAGAACCTTTTGAATGAACAGTCACACAGCTTAGGTTAAAGTCACCTTCTTAAGAAAAGTCATTGATCAGCCTTGAGAGTTTCACAGGCATTGTTCTGATAACCTTTCTGTGTTCGTTTCTCCCCACAGCCTGGTTTTGTGGTATCATCTCTATCACCGTCATTAGCCTGCTTTCCTTGCTAGGTGTGATCTTGGTTCCCATCATTAACCAATGGTGCTTCAAATTTCTTCTAACTTTCTTGGTAGCTCTGGCTGTAGGAACAATGAGTGGAGATGCACTGCTCCATCTGTTGCCACATGTGAGTATTGCTTCCTGACCTTTTGTCCTTAATTCTTACTCTATAGAGTTTCCAAAGAATTGACAGATATCAACAAATGAATTTTCGCTGATGCAGATGTAGACTGACCTGACTCTGAGGGACATCCTGAAACAAAAAGGAATTCTGTGTTTCTTAAAAAATAAATTGAAAAATTAAAAAAGGCAAAGAGAGTAGTTGTGTATTCATAGTTCAACTTCTGTCACAGGATTTTAAAACACCCAAGGAGACCAACAACCGTATTTTATAGTTAGCAGTATGACTGTCATCTACCGATGCTTGTGAATCAGTGCCATCCAAGAGTATTTCAGGGAGATTAACCTTCCTGGTTACGAGCTTATGGGGAGAAAGTAACCTCTAACTTTTACTGAATCAGGAAGCTGTCCAAGTCCTGGGAAGGTGAGCAGCTTGTAATTTGTGATGGCATACTGTGACTCTTAGAAGGGGAATGTTTTCTAAAATTTCGTTACTTGAGTTATTTTAGCAAAAAGGCTAATGTTAACATGTTTTCATGGTGTGCATTTTAATACAAATGTTTGGTCATGTGTTTTGTTTTTCAAAAGCTTGTATTTCAGGTCAGAGTTAAGGCTGAAATTGACTGTAGTAGCTAAAAAAAAAAAACCATCTTGAGGTTTGGTTGCTAACGGGAATGTAAGAATGGTAATTCCTTGTGACATTTCTGAGTGTTAGTCTCGTTATCTTTAGCTTCGTGACAGAAAAATATGAAGCTAGATTACACCCCCTCACCCCCCCAAAAAAAATTCTCAGAGGAAGATTTTTTTAATTGATCAGGGTAATGAAAGTAATGACTAGTCTAATGAAAAAAATTTATGGTAAAATGTGTTCGTATAAAAAAAGCCACAAACAAAAAGCCCCAAACAACCACCCACAACCCAACTTCTAAAGTCTTTTTGTGCTGCATTTCTGGCAAGGTTACGATTTTGTCACTTGAGCTCGGAGCCATTTAAGTCTCCAGACTGCACCAGGTCATGCTGTGCTGTGATTTTCTCTCCTGTTAGTCACATGGAGGCCACAACCACAGTCACCACCATGGCCAAGGTCATGTTCATGAACACAAGCGGTCCCATCGACATGCCCACGGACATGGAGTACGGACTGAAGGCTTTCTGGAAGAAAATGATCCAGTGCTGAAAGGCCTTGTGGCACTTGGAGGCATTTACGTTCTGTTCATCATTGAGCACTGTATAAGGATGTACAAGCATTACAACAAACAAAAGGTACGCGCTAAAACTGCACGCTGCTTTAACGTGTTAGCTTATCTGCCGAGCGTTGAGGAATCGTCTGTGGGACGATTCGTTACTCTGTGAACGAGTGCTGCTGATCTGCATTGTGCTTGGTTTTGTGTGAAGAAAGCCTTTTCTAAAAGATGCTGCTTTTCTTGAGAGGTATTTGGGAAGGCAAAGTAGAACTCTGGTGGGGGTGGTTGCAGCTTTCTGGCCAGGTCTGTTTGGAGGTGAAACAAAGTAAGAGAGATTGCAGCCCGTCCTCTAAAGCGCCGTGATCTCTTGCAGAAATGGGATGGGCAGCATGGGAGGACAAACTGGTACTAGAGCCTGGCCGTTGTCAGGCAGGTACGAGGAATGTGACTGTATAGTGTTAGCTAACGATGCCCGTGTAACAGAGGTAGATGTCTTTTCCACATGAGAAGATAAGAAAGTTGGCAGACCTCCTGCTTTCTGTAAATTGCCACTCAAATTTTAACTGTTTTCCCTGAAAAAGATTGGCTTTTTTGGGCTGGGAGCATGGTGGTGGTGGTATATACCATATGAAGGTGGTACACTGCGCAGTACCTCAGGGGGATTGTGGTGGTGGGTAGGGGTTCAAGCCAACAATGAGACATATTCTTTCAACAGTCATTAGAAATACACTTTTAAGGTTTTTCTCCATTGTTCAATTTGAGGAGAAAATTGTTTTGGTGAAACTGTAACTGCTTCTCCCAGAATGAGTACAGAAGAATTGGAAGTTGTCTGTTTTGCACCAGACTTGCTGAGTTGGCTGGACAAACGGCAAAAGATTTTTTTGTGTTGGAGGAGGCGTTTCTTAGATCTTCTGATAAAGAGAGAACTGTCACCCTGACCACATCTTCTCTGGTGCTAATGAAATAATGAAATTCCCCTGGCTGCTTTGGCAAACCTGAGGTCCCTGTGATGTGGGCTGCAGACAGGGAGATGGCAAGCTTTTCTCTGAAGGGACACACAAGGATCTTCTAGGGGTATAAAACTTAAAGCTGAACAAAACAGAGGCACTGTTGTTGCTGCATGCTCGCTTTCTTGAACGAAATAGGCAAGTACAGTAACTCTACATGCCCGGGTTTCTGGGCTGCTAGAGCAACCCTTGTCCCAATGCACTCCGTTACTGAACTACTGTCTGTGTGGGGGGGGTAGGTAGCTAGGAATCTGTCCACTGAGATAAATACTGTTGCTGAGCTCACAAAGGTTCTGTAGTCACATACTTCCGTTAGGCATCCTGAGGGAGAGTCACTCCGTCTATTTGGGAGAGATTTTTTTGACATTTTAGTTTCTTTCATTTCCATCGATGCCCTTTTACAAACCAGATGTTCCCTGTTCCAGAGTAAGCAGAAATGGTGCAAGAAGAAACAGACTGAAGAATCGCCAATTGGAAGGAAACTCTCCGATCACAAGTTAAATAACAGGCCTGATGCTGACTGGCTTCAGCTCAAACCCCTTGCAGGTAGGCCTTTTTATTTCAGGATTTTCTGATTACGGGATTCTAAGTAATGGCGTGTAACCTGTGGCATGTAGCATGTAACCTCTTGTACAGTTTTGCTGCTATTATGCAAATAATTTTTAATAAGGCTTAATAGGCTTTCCCTATTAAATCTTCTTTTATTTTGTTTTCCTTAGATCTGAGCGCACTCCAAACATTTCCTAATATGCCATACAGATGGTTCTCAGCCTTCTAAAGCAGTCAGGTTTTGGGTGGCTGTGGTTCCTGGGGGATTTTTTCAGTTTGTTTGTTTTGGGGGTGTGTTTTTTGGTTAAGCTGTGCCTGACTAGCTCAGCCCTGGCAAAAATTATATGAAGAACGAACACACACAACCTGAAAGGGGCTATCTGTTACACTTTGAAGATTCCATCCTCTACCAATTATAGTTTTGCTAAGAAGACTAAACAAAATTAATTTCTAGTCATAAATACAACTAGGTATCCTGATATTCCTCAGGTGTCCACAGTAACTTTCCCATACTGTTCCCTCCTGACAGGCTGAATGCTCCTGCAGTATGCACCCCAAAAGAATGCCGTATCACCCTTCTTGCGGGGGTGAGGGAAGGTGCTTCATAAACCTCCCTTTCTGTTGCCTGCGTGGCTGCTGAATTCGTTTGTCAATGAGGAGTCCACAGGCCACATTTAGGCACATGCAATTTTGTTCATTTAAATGGTTTGTAGAAGAGAGAGAGTTAGGACCATAGCCTTCTCCATGTGATCCACGTATAATGGGATTTGGGACAAGGTCACAGAACAGAGAGAGATACTCAGCTGTGAGGAAGGTGGTACATGCATTTGAAATGTCTTTTTTTTTTTTTTAATGGGCAATCAGAGGAATTTGGATTCTGATAACACGTACTGGTTTGTAACACTTCCTCAGAGAGTGCCCTCTTCTGATCAGTGCGTTGTTCGTACCACGGGCACTGGAAGCCCACGCTGAATTTGAGTTGTGAACTGCAGCGCCACTACCACTGACCTGACAGTCATTCCATTTCTTTTTAAACAGCCTCAAATGATGTTTAAGTGCCTGTTTATCTAGAACTCTGTCGGCTGCTTAGGTGCCCTCTGCATGGTTTTTAATTCCACTTAGTGTTTCCTTATTTTTGACTGAAATATTTTGGGTGAATTATTGTGAGCAAGTAACTTCATTGTCCAGAACTTTTTTTCTCACAACTGGATTTGTTTCCTGGAGCACAGATTTCCAGTTTTATTTCTTTATTAATGCTTCAGAAATAGTAGCAGACTTAAAGTCCATGCACATATGCCCTCTGCATTGTCCTCACTTTGTATTTCTTGGTGAAAATGGCTTTGGTCGCTGGCAGGGTAATGAGCTACGTGGAAGGAGCTCACTGTGTGACCCAACTGGCCTCTTAGAAGGTCTGTTCTGTCGGGGCAGATCTGGGTATGCCTCAGCGAAGGCTAAGGTGTCACCTGTATGTAGGGTGTGCACAGAGAGTGGCCAGTGAAGGTTTCTGGAGCCGTTCTGATTCCATCGACCGCACAGAAGACATTACTGTTGTCATGCTGGCAACTTCCCTTTTCCAGTGCTGAAACATAAACTTTGTCAGTAGCAAAATGACAGATACAGGCCTAGGACAGGCTAAAACTGGTGTTGTGCACTACAGATACGGTGCTGTTACCTTGTCGTGGAGACTTCCCTATGCTGTACATGCAAATTAGTGAAAAAATGGGGCAGAGAGAAATAGGGTTTGGGGGCTGAAAGTTGACAACAAAGTTACTAGTTGGTGTGTGTTACGACACTGCTTTCACAAAGCCATTACATTCTTAGCTGAGCGATGCAGCAGTCGCTGGTGATACTGAAGTAAGAACTAACGCAGTGTCTCTCCCAACTGGCATCAATGTAGGAGCAGACGACTCTGTTTTATCCGAAGACCGGCTCAATGAAACAGAACTCACTGATCTAGATGGCCAGCTGGAATCCCCTCCCAAAAACTTCTTGTCTGTAGAAGAGGAGAACAATATGCACCATACTCACAATGACGTCTCACGTGGCACTCAAGAGCATGATCTTCACGATGCAGAGTATGACAGCCATGGCGAAGATAAAATGATAGCTAGAAAACACAGTCACCACTGGCATCACAAACATTCCCATCATTCCCATGGCCACTGTCATTCTGGAAAAGACCTGAAAGATACTGGGATAGCTAATATTGCTTGGATGGTAATTATGGGAGATGGCATTCACAACTTTAGTGATGGCTTAGCAATCGGTAAGCAAAAGCACGGAGTATTTCTCAACAGTTTCTTCTTACCTTTAATAGCTTTGGTTGTTTTACTTACCCGTGATCACAGGTAAGGCTTCCAGCCACCGCCTGTGGTTACCGGCACTGCTTAATCCCCTCAGGGCAGAAATGGAAAGGCCAGCAATTCTAAGTCTGCCCTTTGTTAATATTCTGTGACTGTTTCCACCAAGATTACTGTGTTGGTGGTAGCGACAGCAGCAACCTCTGCCAAGTAAAGATGGGTGCAGACAGCTCTCCACCTGAATTACGGAGTACGTGTGATGCACATTTGTCTGGGTTTTATTTGCCTTTGAATAATAACTAAGTTATTTTCAGTATTATTTATAATAATAATACTATTTCTATTATTAATCTTTAGAATTATACAGTACTTGTAAATATTAAATGTACTATGAGTCAGATTACCAAAATAATTTAACAGGTACTACTTAGAAAAATTTAATTTTTGTTTGAGCAAAGTATTGGTTGCCTTATGGTTAGTGTAGATGTAGTTCTAGCCCAATGTAGAAGAAATTGAAGTACCAAACAGATTTAAATAGATTTATTAAATCAACTTTGATTCACATAAACCTCTAAATGAGATTTGAACTGTAAAGCACTTTAAATTGAATAGATGTCATGCAAGTCCAAACGACAGTGGGAGTCCTGAAGTGCATACTTTTGACCTTCTGCTAAGGTATGAGCACACAGGCTTCTGAACTCCCAGCAGAAAGTACATACCCGTTTTGAGGGATGGAGGATAAGCTACTTGCTAGGGTCTGGAGTTAACACTGGAATCTACTACAGTTTCTCTGCTTTCTCCAGACAATATCTAAAGAAACTAAATTCCATAAAAATGAACTTGTGGCTTCGTTTTCATGTCAAACAGGTAAGGCATTTAGACAATGGCTTCCAAGGCCCAAAAGGAGCGCTGCGCCATCTGTTGAGAACTTCACTGTACTGAAACCTTTTAAACATAGTCCTGTGTCAGCCCAAACAGCTGATTCTTTGGTAAAATGCAGACTTTAGAAAAGCATGGTCATCGTTTTAATATATCAAGGTCGGAGGAATCCAGAGGAAAGTTAAATTTCTTCAGTCTGTGTCTTTCTCTTTCCACTTTGCCTGGCTGCTCACTGCAGGCTGCTCCTGTGCCTTTCTCTGCCACAGTACTGAAATTCCACTTGTCTCATCTCAGAATTATTTAAGGTATTAATCAACATCAAGTTGATTGAATTAAATAAATTAGCTTACACAAGAGTTACTTAAAGAGGTTTATGCCAGTGTTTTTCTCCTTACTATTTTCCAAGTCTGGCTTACTAATGTTTCTAATATATGCTCCGGGAAGTAGGTTATGGATTAAGTGTTAGTTTGGGTTTCCAACCTGGAAAGGAAAGCTGGACCGTTGCTCATATGCATTCTTAACTGTTCTGATGTACTTGAGGGTTCCTAAAAATGTAAAAGTGGTGCTGTTTCCTCTCCCAGGATTTGTCTCTCAGATAAACTGAGTAATAAAGGATGCAGCGGTAATGCACATCCAACTATTCCGGTATTTGCAGTTTTTATACAGACAGGACACAGACATAATGAAAAAATACTAGAGCATGTGTTCTCTCTGGAAAGTGTGTTGGTTAAATTTTCTGACTTGAAAATAGTAATTTTTTTTTTTCCTCCCCCCACCAGGAGCAGCTTTTAGTGCTGGACTGACAGGAGGAATTAGTACATCTATAGCGGTATTTTGCCACGAGCTTCCCCACGAATTAGGTAACTAATTATATAAACTCGGTGTGTTCAGTCTCTTCGTCTGTACAAAATATGTATCTAAAAGCTGTTGTGGTACTCGTCCTGATAAGCACAGTGCAGTGCAGATGCTGCAGGGGTGACCAGAACTTGAGACTGATGGAGCAGTAGTACTTCAGAGTGCATAATGGGAACATGAATACCTGCCAAAATAATCCCGTACCTTCTTACACCGGTTCTGTGAGGCTTTTTGAACAGGTTTAAAAGATGTTCTTAGGAGCATGCGATTCACACTTTGGTGTTAGAGCGCTGCATTTTATGGAGAGAGTTTCATGCTGCTCTGTGCGGCACTGTCTTACGCAAAGTTAAGTTACGGAAGTGAACATAAGTAAGTAAAATTCTGTGGAGATTTTCAACAGGTGCTTTGTGCCAACTGCTGCTGAGTGCAGTAGGTGTGGATGGCTGGTCAGGGTAAAGCCTGTAGTGATGTTGCCAGTGCCTCTGATTCTTCCCCCCAGCTGAAGCGTTTCTTCTTGCGTTTAGCGCATTGTGAGGAAACCTGTTGTGAGCCATAAGGCACATGGCAGGAAATTGTAGTGCACCCTGAGATGTACAAAAGAGCAGCTAGAGTGGGGAGGAGTAACATGGAATTGTGCTAGGTTAAGCTGCCTGTGTGCTTACAGCTTGCCATGCTGCATGAGCTGCAAGCTCCGAATGGTCGGAAGTGTGGTAAAACAACTGCTTTGAAAGCATGTTATATAGGCAGATAGGAAGTGTAGGGTAAGTAGTGGGGACAGGTGGGAAATAACAGAGCAGCTGTTCGCGGTTTGACAACGGTGCTATACAGGTGTTAGTTCAGCAGAGCTGCTGCAGTATATGAAGGATTGCAGTATGTATTGCTGTGCTTGTAACTTGCTAGGTTACCATGATTAACCTTGTATAAGAGTTGAGCAGGTCACTGTACAGACTTTTAGGTTTGATTCTAGGCTTTAATTCTAGACTGAGCAGTTAATTTCTAGCATATCTGACATGAGAATATTATATTCATTACCCTCATGACTGCACATCATCTTTCACTCTTCATATTTACAAGAGTTCAGTTTGAAGGAAGTAAAACTGTCAGAGCTGCTTACAAGATGAAAATGTAGCTCTTCACAGAACATCTACATCTATCAGCAATTTTAGCAGAGCTGTCCTGAATTCAAAATAAACCAGGTTAACCTGGCATGTCTTAAACCAGCAAACTGATTGGGCATGGCTGTGGAGTCATTCTTTCTGATTGTGACTCTTCCTAGTGCTGTGTTTCTCAAATTCACGGTCACCCTCTGCGGGGACTAATGCCTCGTTATCCTCTTCAGTTTGCAGAATGAGGTGTATATAGCTAAGACGAATTTTCACAGGTACTGATCAAAACTAAGCCTCTGTTCTTATGTGCCACGAAGAACTCCTGTGAGAGAAAGAGAAGACTGTACGCACAGGTGTATTCACTGTGGGAGGACCACATCTAGGCTCCTCCACTTACCTTGACCCACTGATGGCTATTACCTTTGCGACAGTCAGCACGACGAACAGCCACCTTTAAATAAAGGGTTGGCTGCACATAAATACAGTTCTTGTACGAGTTGTCTTATTCTGGGGCCCAGTCTTGTTCTGAGCCTCTGTAGCAGCACTTTGGCTGTAGCAATGCCTTGGACTGGTGAGGCAGTAAACACAGGCTGATCTACCTCCTTACTCTCCCGAGAAGCGCTGACACTCAACCCCGCTGTTCTGTCTCCGTTTTAGGTGACTTTGCTGTGCTGCTGAAAGCAGGTATGACGGTAAAGCAAGCTATTGTGTACAACCTCCTGTCTGCCATGATGGCTTACGTCGGGATGCTGATAGGCACAGCGGTGGGACAGTACGCTAACAACATCACCCTGTGGATCTTCGCAGTCACGGCAGGCATGTTCCTCTATGTGGCACTGGTTGACATGGTAAGATTACCATTCTGTGTCGGTTTTGCATCCCATGCATAAAAACTTGGACTTGTTCTGTCGCAGTTGCCATTTCTTTTTGTTATAACATGCAAAATATCTGTAGACAGTAGGTGGCTGTTTCTTTAACTTGATCAAATGCTGCAGATACTGGAGAGATGTAGTGAAGTTCTGTAGCTGCTTGCCTGTTGGGGTTTCTGCTGCTGTAGTCTGCCAGGGATTCCTGTTCACATACAAAAGCTGCAGAAGGGGCTGGGAAGGACCCTCACACTTCCCACCAACAAAAATAACAACCCCCCACTAATAAAAATAAGATGATTCTCTAGTTTTGTGGATGGGCCATTAGAAGCTGAAGTTCAATCCAGTATTTAAAATTGTTCTTCACTGAACTTTAATCTTCATATATTTGATTCTGGAAAGCTTAGTCTGCATCCTTAGCATGTGCAGCTGGTAATACATAGCACTTGTCAAAAACTGTCTGGTGAAGAATGCTGCTGCTTCAAAGATATAGCTCTAGGTACAATGTATTTAGTGTGTGTACACCACAGATCCAGATTCTTGTGCACATGGTATCAGTCCATATTCAATCCTGATTTCTTTACTAAGCGGCTTCAAAGCTGCATTTAAATAAGGGAATTTTCTCACTTCTTGTCTTTTCCAAGCCTAGTGATCATGAGTTTTCATTTTGGGGGTTAATGCTCTTTCTGTTTAATACATAGAGAAAAAGATGTGTCACTCCCTGGATTTTAAGGAAAGATCTCTTACTGGATTAGTTATGAACCAATTAGACTAGGAACTCCAACCTAGTTAAAGCTTTAATTCACAAGGGTTCAGACAGCTTTTTGTGGAGTGTCTCAACTTCCATTGCTTCACTCACAAACTTCTCTTTCCTTGTGCAGACATCTAAAGCAGAGGCAGGCTTCCTCACCACTGCTATTTTTCTCCTCAGATAGACTAAGTAGCCAGTTACCTGTTGTCGGTAGATTGCTACCTGGATCACCTGCTGTGGCTACATACTGCATATAGAAAAATACTTACATACTGGAGTTCTGGCTTTGAGTGATGTTCCAGTACAGGTTTTGTTTGACCTTGTAGCATCTCCATAGAGGGTTGGGTTTACTGGAATGAGGACCAGCCTGTTTCAGGTTTCAGTTGTGGGTGAAATAGAGTATTTTACTGTTCTGAAATATTTTAAACCATGCATTTTCTTCAGCTTTCCAAATTTCTTCAGGTATTTTGTTCCATATTTGGTAGCTCTTTGTTAGCCTATGCTGCTAGTTCTGCTCTCCTGCACACATTTGTGCTGACTATCCTGGTTTTGAACCACATTTTTGAGCAGCTTCCTCAGAAGTTAACTGGTGCGGGGACGAAAGGTGTGATGTTTGACTCGCTGGCTGTCAAAGCAGGCAGGCGTCTGGCAGCTACTTTAAGCCGCAGAGACAGACTTCAGGTTTCAGCAGTTCTCACTGAAGCAGCATCACATCTTCGTCAGAGCACTGTGAGGCTGTCAGATGTTTGCTCTGGTGTGGGCTGATTGTATTATTTCCCTCGTGCTAACTCGAGCAGCTGACTTAATGAAGATCCCTCTGCTCTTGGCTGCTGTGGCCAGTAGCGGGCAGTTCCTAGCCGTGGCTGCGGAGTCTGGTTTCTCAGCCTCACCAGTGTCACGGAAGCATTACTGAACACCACTGAAAGCACGTGAAGGCTTTTGCTGCATTTCCTGGTGTCAGCAGCAGCTGTCTTGGCCATTCTACCCTGTAGCGACTTTAGCTCTGCAGTTGGTACTGAGTTCAGCACTACGGCTACGTTGGTGCTTAAGAAACTTCGGGGGGGCTTCCAGCTTGCCTCAAGACAGCACCCTCCATGTCTGAGAATTTTCTCTTAAACTCAGCTTTGGTTCTGAAGATCCCATGTCAGTCCCATTACTAGTCATCAGATGGGGGCCAAGGCAGGACACGGTGGCAGAGGCTGCTCCTGTGACCTTCATCCTATTCCATCCTGCTTACCATTAGGTCTTGCGTGACCAGGACTCCTGGAAGCCAGGCGTTGGCTGTCACACCACAGGATATTTCCTTTCGTTATGGAGAACTCTGATTTGCTAATAGACTCTAGCAATGAAGTCATTCTAATCTATGATAAGGTAGATACTCCTTTTCAGGGCTTGCTAAACAGTGTCTGTGTAGCTGAGAGTGATCCTTCCTGCAACTTTAGATGTTCTACAGTAGCCTGCAATTACTGAAATATCACTTGTTCAGAAGTCCTGTGGCTGATACTTATTCCCTGTCCTTATTATGGCTAAAGACATCACAAATAAAGGGAAGCAGTATTTTCATTCTTTTATTCCTCATCCTTTTCCTCAGTTGTCATAGTAGCAACCAAATAGTCAAAGCACAATAGTCTGACTAAACAAGAGCAGGAAAGGTTCTGCAAGACACTTGAAACTGCATCAGACTTTTGTCTTGACGTTTTCATAATCTGCCTCCCTCTCAAAGGCCTTATTTTCTTGTTACCTGACTGAGTAAGAACAGATTTTACTCCCTCCCTAACTTGACAGAGGTTCACATAGGTACAGCTTTCTATCCATTCCTTACACCAGCCCATTGAGAATCGACCTTTTGGAATTTCTGCATCCAATTATCCCCAAGTTTGTCTAATTACATGTTTTCTAATGGTAAGGATATTCTACTCCAGTTGAATATTTCTATCTTAAAGGGGTCTTCTCCTTGCTCTTCAGTTCCACAGCTGTCACTCTCTGTAGCTGAAACTTCTACCCATCATACTCTCAGGTTTCCTGTCATGACCAGAAACCTTAGAAGTTATGGAGACAGAGGACTGTGTTTTCACAGGTTTTGAAAGAGATGCTAGAATATTCTTTGATTATTCTTAATAGCATCTTCCTTTAGATTTGGAACAGCAATACTATGTCTCTGTAGAAGCTGATTACAAAATTTGAGTTAGGTACAGGTCTTCCACTGAAAAGAAGGTGAGAATTGGCAGCAGCAGTTCTAGCACAAATCTCAGATTAAGTTTTGTATTACTTGGTGAATACAACTCTGATTTATTAAAAAGGAAATCATTCTGCAGCAAATCTTGCCTGCCCACAGGAGAGCTATCTAGCAGTCTTCAGCAGTGGAAAGTCTGTGATTACTTCATTTATTCTTAATGACTTAAGAGTACTTTGTACTTCGGTGTCGTGCTTGCTGTTAGGCTGCCTCGTCTGTTGTACTGGTGATAAACATTTTTCAAACCAGTGTGTGTTTTTATATTTAAATACTCAGTGGGTCAAAATAATTGTCAGCTTTGTGTATCCTTTTGAAATACAGTAATATAAGACCGGATGGGTAATATGTTTAGATTTTTAGCAGATTCGATGCTCTGATAATTTGTGTGGTATTCGGGTACTTGAAGTAACCCAAACTATTCTAGCCCACCTAATGAAAAGCAGGAGACTTGTGCTGTGTACTACCTGAAGTCTCCTTTTTGTTCTGTATTATGTTTTTCTGTACTAGAAGTGTTTTGAAGGAATTTCATTTACCTCATGCTTTCTTGAATTAACGTCTTCGTAAAACATGTTATTTCTCTTCTGTACGGGTGGTTGTGTAAGAATTTCCCTTGAATTACTCGTAGCTATTACTCCCATATTTAAAAGGGAAATGTATGTGTAAGCATCTTAACATGACAACTGAATGGCTAAGTTAATCAGCAAAGTCATCATAAAGGGTATATTTATAGCAATGTAACTACTGTAGCAATAGCCAAAGCTTTTTGTCATGTTTATTTGAGTGTGACTTAATCTTAATTGAGTAAAAGAACTCGAAAGAGCAGAACTCAAAGAAAGCTGGGCTGGTCCTTATCTTGAGGAAATGAAGAGGTCACGCAGAGGTGTGATCCAGTAAAAGCTTTATAAAAAGGAAGTCCAAAGGAAAGGCATTTTTAGTTCGTTTTGTTACTACCTGATGGGATCACGATTTTATCATAAGTAATGGTTAGGGAGAATTTTAGCTGTGTCTTAATGTATCATTTTTATAACTGAATCCTGGAGTGTTTTTTCTTGTCAGAATCATCTTGTAAACTTGTCTCCACGTAACTGGAATAGACATGAAATAACTTTCTAAATTGTTTTTCCTTTCAGCTTCCAGAAATGCTTCATGGAGATGGAGATAATGAAGAGCACGGTTATTGTCCTGTGGGGCAGTTCATTCTTCAGAATCTAGGCCTGCTCCTTGGCTTTGCCATCATGCTGGTGATTGCCCTCTATGAAGATAAAATTGTGCTTGACATCCAGTTTTGACCTAACTCTGGTAATCACTGGTTACAACAATGTTACTGTACGGCTTTGAGTCTGCACTGTTTCACTGTATGCACATTGCTTAGAGGACAAGCAGTGGCTTGCACTACTTACACAAGTACAGGATGGTCATTTCTCTCTAGATTAACTTCTGCTTTTTTTTCTAATTCAAATGAGATGATTTGACAAACCCAGTGTGTTGTCTTAACTCATGTGATGGACAGGTAGGATATACTAAGAGAAATGAATGCCAAGTTCAGTGTACTCTGCAGGAGGCGCTGCTGGCCGAGGAAAGAAAACCTACAGGGAATGATCTGATCTGCTCGTTTGGGAAAATGCCATTTCATTAGTACATTTGAACAGAACCCAGAAATGTTACAGCTGAAATTCACACCTCTGCAAGGAACCCGTGTAAACTTCCAGTGCCACCTAAGTCTTACGTAGCACGTATATGTATCTCTATATATGTACAGATATATAGATATGCAGTATATATATGTGCGTGTGTGTATATATATTCATTCTGTGCTGATTCTTCTGCATAGTGGTGACTTGGAGTATAAAATGTTACAACAGCACGTGACTGGAAAGCACTGTGCTGGTTTAAATTCTCAAAAAGGAACCCAAACCCTAAACACTGTTTAAATTCTTGAGAGCATGCGTTAAGCTGCACTCCGTTGTTGCAAAGATCATGTGTAAGAAGGCAGGCTGTTGCGATACACGCTGCAGAGTGCCGTTGAGGATCAGTTTGACGATGTTTTTCCTAAGATTTATTTGATGTTTGTTCTTTGATATTAGTAGGAAAATGCAAAATGCAGTAGAATTAGCGTTAGCTTGGGGAAGTCCCTGATGTTGGAGTTATTGAGCTATTTCTGGTTCTTTTTTACAGATGCTAAACATGCAGTGTGTGCCACTTGCAGCATAAACTACTGAAGAATTGTGGCTGTGAACTTGTGCAAACTCTTTTAACAGAGAATCCATATGGGAATTTCTCCATTGTTTTAACAATATTTTTGGACTGTTTTCTCCTCTTCATGTTAAAATAATCCAAAGTGCAAGATGGTAGTTACTGAACCTGGGCACAAAGGTTAAATTATGCTCTGTGTATGCAGTACTGGTTGGTTATTTACAACGCTGTGTAATACCAGATCAAAACCTGTTTCTACAATGCCTTGATACCAGACGTTGTAGCACCAGCCGTTTCTGGCAGGAGAGTAGGTAAGATTTCTACTTCCAGCATAAAGGAGTTCATTTCTATGATATTTTTTTACAGTTTTGGTATCTAAATTACATTATTGAAAAGCAGATGTGATAGATCCGTGGTATGTGTAATCTGGAAGGATAGACTGAAAATTTGGGCCTTAACTTGCTGGGATCAGCTGTCCTAGATTGATTTGTGCTGATATGCTTCTATTGCCAGACATGAGTTAGTTCTTCTTGTACCCATCTCCTTAAAAAATTGTGAGTTTGTGAGGAGTGCAAGTTGGTTCTGTAGTACCAGTGCTAAGCATGGTAGTAGCCTTTTTTAAAATATACGGTTTGTCTTCTTTTATGTGTATGCCAGGTAAAGCTATTTTGACTGTGGGCTGTAAGTTTTGTTTCGGTCTGCTTGGTGCCAGTGTAGCTGCTAAAAACACTGATACTAATGCCTTTAATGAGAGCCAGTTGGTATCTACATTCCATTTCAAGTTAACGTGTTTCCTGTGGCCCTTTACTTTTTGAAGCTTCATTGGTCAATTCAGTTTTTACTGAGAGCAGCTCAAGTATTTTAAGGATATCGGTTGGTTCTTGCCAGTATTTCTTCTAGCGCAGTATCGAGAAGCAGTATTAAGGGTCCGTTTCAGAGGAGGGCGCAGCTTCTTCAGTGAAGAAGCTGACAGCCCAGCGTTCGGGCATGCAGCCACCTGATGCCCTGAGCTCTGGTTTTTTTTTTGCTTCTTTAAACGCGTTTACTGTTGGACCCTGACTAGCAAACACACTGTTGTTAGCTTCAGATTACTGAATTTCTGCAGTGTAATGATCCTGGGTAGCATTTTTTCAGAGTGCCCATGTTGTTAGGTCACTGAATACCATTTTCAGAGAGTCTTAACTCACTGGATACCTTCTGAAGATCTAGGTTTAAACAACTGATGTTTCTTATGTGTTAAACTGACCCTTAATTTTCCTTTTCTGTTTAATTCTGTCAAGTGTAAGAGGGTCATTTATGTGCTTGAACTGATGTTTTGTCAAATCATTTTTTAAAGTTTCTTTTAATTCTTTTCAAATGAAGATTTCTATATTTCAGGTAGTATATTTACTTTTCTATTAGTTGGAATATGGTTATAGCTTAATACACTGCCTTTATAGGAAAATAGTTAACTTCCTTCCAAGACCATCTTCAGACAAGGGAAAAAACATGGTCCTTGAAGGTTGGTACTGTATTTTTCATTAAATATGGGTTGTTTCTTTTTACTCTCAAGTATTTATTGCAAGTTCTGAAGAGCAGTGTAACAGCTGTGACTTCTTCTCTGTTTCCACCAGTATTGAATTCCAAATGATTCTTAATGTATGCTTTTGAGTCATGTTACAGACAATCTGAATTCCACTACATTTCTACTGGGCTTCAACATTCCATTCTGCCTGACTCCAGAGTCTCATTTAACTCGTATTTGTTGGAGGGCATAAATGTTACTTGTATATTACAATGCTGTCACTGTGTGACATCCCATATGAATTTTGATGTAGATCACATTGCACTCAATCAGCTGTGATTAGGCTTAGAAAATACTGTAGTTGCTAGATGCAGTGTGATTATTTTTTTAGTTTTTTTTCTTTCCCCTCCCATTAACAATTGCGTCTATGGTTTAAAATGTGATTATGGTCCTATAAGATAACTTGCTGAGCTATCAAGTCTTTTTGTTACAACTAAATCATTTTTTAAAATTTTATAAAGCTGGAAATGATCAAATGCTGTTTTGTTCATTGTCAACAGTGTTGTGTTCATTTTATGTATTATCCTTATAAATAAGGAGCCTTCAGAAAATAAAATTATTCAAGGAGCAGATATTTTTGGTTGCCTGTATAAGGTTTTATTGTGCATCTTTATGTTTTAGTATTGTTTCACATCTCATGAAAGGCACAAATGCAACATGGTAAACACACTCACTTTGATTCCTCTTTGTGCATGGCGTTTCAGGACTGATGTGTATCCCTTGTGCGTGATGTGGAAACTGCACCTACCTCCCGGGTTACGAGTTAAGCTGACACAGTAACGCCACGCCCCGTCTGATCCAGTGTTCTTGGGGTTTGTCTGAAGGGAGAGTCATTGCGATGACAAAGTTGGTGGAGTGGCCTGTAGTGGACAGGATCCCTCTTCTCTCGCTGGTCTTGTACACTGGGGCCAGGTAACTTGGTCGCTGCGGAATGTCTGCTCTCTTACACGGCTTTAGCCATATCTGCAGTAAAGAGTTAAACAATCCTTCTCATCTCAGTTAAAAAAAGTAGGGAAGCATTTTGACAGTGTTAGGTTTTTGTTTGGTTTGCTTTTTAACAGATAGCCCTGAAAACCTGTTTCTTCTTATTTCCTCTTTCATAGCGGATTCCTTCCTCTTTCAAAACATGCAACACCAAACTTCCTGACACTGTCATTATTAGCAGAGGATTCCCAGCTCCTCTCAGACACTTAATTTCTATTTCATCATAAAACATCTCGTTTCAATTAATTTTTTTTAAGAATTACTCTGTTACTTCCTTCAAGACTGGAATTTAAGAGTATTAACATTCTACAGTATTTGTTGACAGTCATACTATAAAATGTCGCAAAACGGAAGACACTAACCACAGGTACGGTGTCATAGAGGGTTTTTGGATGAGATTCTCCTAGCTTCTTAGTCTCTCTGTCCCAGCGTGCTCCATCCAAGAACAATCCCTGAACGTAGACCCCTGAATCGGTTGGAAAAGATCCCGTGTTACACAAAAACTTAGCGTATGTCTTCTAGCTGAGCGGCAGCAGGCAGCGCAACGCACTTTGCTAACTGCGGGTTGATGGTGTGGGGCTTCTGGTCAATTCTGTGTGTTCCAGGTGACAATCTCAGAACTTTGAGTATATCACAGTTTCATTCTGTATTGCAGTTTATGATGATTACAATTCTATGAAGATTTATAGTTACACTATGATATTGCTAGACATTTTATATCTAGCCTTTTTGAGTAACACAGGATAAAAATCACTCCAAAGCATGGGACAGTGTTACAGTTGTCATTATTATGAAGTAAGTTGTTTTCTCTATGTACTATAATATATATTGTCACCTTTAATATTTCCAAGCTTGGAGGTTTGACCATATAAATAGGCTGTCTGTAGTTAGTCTTCACATTGTTTCATTGCTTATGTTTCAAATTGCCGCTTGCTTATACCTTTCTAAAGCAGTTCATTAAAGGAGTAAAAAAAAAAAAAAAACACATAAAATCTTTAAATGTTTAAAAAACCCCATATTTTGACATGTCATAATGACATGATAGAATGACAGTTGTCTTTCTGTTCTCCAGAAGAAATGAATAAATTACAGCAACATCTGGTTTTCATCAAACTTGCACCTTCTTGCTCTGTAGACTGAAAACTACAGCGTCTAAACCAAAAAATAAACCTGCCCCAACAACAAATGACCTGAGAGTGGATGTGGCTCTGCCAAGCAACCTGGCAAGCCCTTCTTTCTGCCCAACTGCCACTCAAACTGATCCTCAGAGAAGTATCCAAAAGAGTATTAAGAACAGTTCAGTTTAATTTGCCATTTTTTCTGAGGAAGGGAAAGCTAACAAACATATCTGCAACTGGATCCCAAGGTAAGTAATGAAGTGGTTTGACTAAAAAGGGCATTTCCCCCCTCAGAGCAGTCCCCTATTGTACACTGTGATCATACCCGTAGGATATTTTTCTAGACATAGTTAAACTAGCATACCCAACTTCCCTACTAAATGTTTGTTTTTTGTTAGTTTAGAAAAATCTGCATCTTCAGATATATATG